AGGTTGTAAGCACCGCAAACTAGAGCTAACCCTGGAACCCAAAGTGAACCCAAACACCACAGCTTATGTGTTTGCTTAATTTTTTGTGTATTTGCCTCTTGACAACACGAGACCAAGGAGAGCCCTCACTGATTGCAATGGTTTGGAACGACAGCAGAGGGGACAGATTGGCACTGGGCCCCCTTATCTCAGTCCTTGTCTCTGAAGTGACTGATCAATCTCAGAACAGGGTGGGGAGTAGGGGATAGGTGCTGTTAACCTTTGAGATGTCTGATGCAGAGGGAAGGATGAGATGAAGCAACCATCAGTGGCGCCTGGGTCCTGAGGAGGGAGGACCCTGGACTGGCTGTGGGCGGGTGAGGCACGCTGATGTTTGTGTTCCAGGGTTGCTGAGTACAGGCCTTCTGTGTCCACATTTGTACCCTTCCTTTGGCCCTAATCAGCATGAGAGCCTGTAGGAGGCAGGCTTCCTTCCTTCTCTGTCCTTGGCCTTCTTTCTGCTCAGTTGGTCATTGGGCAGAGGGTCTATAGGCTAGTTGCACCACTGGCCTTTGCCAGAGAAATGTCCTTTTTGTTTGAAACAGTCTCTCATTCTGTTGCCCAGGTTAGACTGTCATAGTATCAGCCTCGCTCACAGCAAGTTAAAACTCCTGGGCTCAAGTGGTCCTTCTGCTTCAGCCTCCCTAGTAGCTGGGACTATAGGCGCCTGCCACATACCTGGCTAATTTGTCTATTTTTAGTAGAGACCAGGTCTTGCTCTTGCTTAAGTTGATCTCATACTCCTGAGTTCAAGTGAACCTCCTGCCTCTGCCTCCCAAGAAATGTCCCTTCCTAATCCCACTTACCCCTGGCAGAGAGAAAATTAGCTTGGGGCCCTTTTCACCCATCTTTCACTTCAGCCTCCTGGCAGTTGGGCACATTTGGGGACTCAGCAGGTGTGGTTCTGTCTGTACTGGCATCGTTTCTTCAGCCTGTCCCTGTCCTGAAAGGTTCTCGGCTTGGGGACCCTATCTTTTATGGTCACATGTGTGCCTGTGTTCTCAGAATCCCATGGCTGTTAAGCTTCATAAGCTGGAGGCAGGAGATGGTACTACTGAGGTGCTGAATTTGCCCTTTGCTCCCTCCACCCATTTTTCTTCTTCCTCACCTCCTTCCACGTTCAAATTAACAGTTTATAAAGGGGGAAATTTCTTCTTAACCTAAAAGTGCCCTTGAGGTCTGGTCACCCTGTGCCATTGAGACCTGGGGTGTGAGATTCATTCATGAGCCTCTGGTCTCCCAGAAGGGTCTGTTCATTCATGCCCAGAGTAATTAAATAACTCTTTGTAAGAGGCAGGGAGCTCCTTGCTAAGTGGTCTTCCCCAATGCAAGTGAAACACCAGCCGAAATCCTCTTCTTTTCCACACCCTCCCCCTCTTTTCCTTTAAAGAGTAGATTTTATGCTTTAAGGGAAATGGGGAAGGGGAGGGGGAGGAACACCTTAAAGGAATTTTAGGCAGATTCAGCATTTTTCTGGTATTGCTCCAAAAATTCCCTACACTGTAATAAAAAGAAAAAATTGTGAGCAGGCATCTGATTAGTGAGCTTTTTACAACACAGCTTTTCTTTTGGATGCTTTAAAATGAACACATACAGTTTTAAAACAAGCCCCTGTACAGTCTTCTGGGGGTGGGGGAGAAGTTGTTGAAAATACCGGAAAAGGTTATAAAGCCTTTAGGGAAATTAACAGGGGACTGAGAGTTTTGCCTTTGGAGGTCAAGGGTCAGTGGCAATGATAAGAAGCTAGCATTGCCAGAATCACTCCTCCTCAGTCCTTGCAGAGACTGAGACTTCTCAGCCCCTCACCGAGAGCCTGGGAAGCCCCCAGGCTCGAAGCAGCCACACAGACCTCTGTGGGGAGACTCTTGTGGGCTGTGGGGCCAGTTCAGGGAACTGTGTTTCTGTGAAGATGATGCTGAATGTTTCCCAGAAAGGAGCCCAAATGATGGGGAATTCAGGTCAAAGCAGCAAAGCTCTGTACTAGCAACGTGGGACGTTGGGCTGGGTCCCCTGAAGGTGTGACGTAAACACTGGAGGGTGGGGTGGTGCGCGACAGGGGCCTTCACTGTCCCCAAGTAGATTTTCTAGAGAGCATGCTTTTGTGCTCAGAAATAGTCTGGAAATGGAGCTGCCCTGTGGGAGGTGTGTGGAGGGGCAGGGGTCTTCCCAGGTGTTCCATACATAGGGACACCCATGCACTGCCATTTATCTGGGCTGGGGCCTGTTAACCTGAGCGGGAAAGAGCGTTTTCCCAGGGGGTGTCTGGCAGCAAATTGCAGGAGACCTGTGGCTGCACAGATGAAAGGGAAACCCCTCCCCCACAGGCCTCAGGCCCAGCCCCCACCCAGCTTCCTCTGCCCCCAGGGGCCTGCTGGCAGGCAAGGCCCTCACCCTGCCCAGGCCTGGCACAGGGGCAACTTGATCCCAGGCCCCAACCCTACCCCACTCTGAACCCTCTCGTCCTCCCTGCATGGCAGTGGCAAGTTTCACTGGGGGAGGGCTGCAGGAAACAAAGTATTGTGAGACTTACTGAGGGTCTCCTGAACCTCCCTCCCTCCCAGCGACTCCCTAGTCTTCCTTCTGAGGCCAGGTTTGCTGTCCTAAGTGGAGAGTTTCAACACCCTCCTTGGCCTTAAAGGGAGGCTGCCCTGTGCCTCCTGGAAGGAGGGCTTTCTCCTTCCCAGCATATTTGCACGCTAGAGTGTCCCTCCCTCCCTGGATGGTGCCTGTCTTTGGTCTGTAGCCTTCAGAGCTGAACTCCCTCAACAGGAAAGTTCAAAGATTGCCAGCGCGCACGAGTTTATTAGCAGTTGATGGATACTTTGCAGAAACAAGTTAATGCCTGATGAGTCACCTTCTGCCTTGGAGCCCTCGTCCCTCTCTAGTTTTCCATATGTTCCAATGTGTGTGCACACATACACACACACTGGCACAACACACGCACGTACACGTCCTGACATCACGGACACACGCTGTACTTTATAGGTATGTGGGTGGCAGTTTTCTGGTTTGATTTTCAGTGTGGGAAAGGAAGGAGCCCTCAGCTTCCCCGTCTTATGTAGACGTCTGGGCAGGCATCCGGGGCGGCCAGTTGGGGTGTCTGTCAGGAACAGCGCTCAGGGTGGGTGTTCACACAGACTTCTTAACCGGCACCTCCATCCAGGCTGGCTGCTGCAAAGAAAAAAACAGTGAACGAGCTGACTGCTTCCCAGGTCCTGACACGCCTGTGGAAGCTGGAATGAGCTGGGCTACAGGACTGTACTGGTTACCCCACTAGGGCAGCAGGACACTGGGGCCCCTAAGTCCCCAGCCCCCTGGATGGTGCAACTCATCATCATTGACTCTCTGAGCCCAGTTGCTCCAGAAACACAAAGGCCAAATTGAAATACTTCTCTGGGCTCGGCGCCTGTGGCTCAAGCGGCTAAGGCGCCAGCCACGTACACCTAAGGTGGCGGGTTCGATTCCCCAGCCCGGACCCGCCAAACAACAATGACGGCTGCAACCAAAAAATGGCCAGGCGTTGTGGCGGGCGCCTGTGGTCCCAGCTACTTGGGAGGCAGAGGCAGGAGACTCTCGTGAGCCCATGAGTTGGTGGTTGCTGTGAGCGCGATGCCATGGCACTCTACCCAGGGGGATAGCTTGAGGCTCCGTCCCCAAAAAAAAAAAAAGAAATACTTCTCTGCACTCGTCCCCACCTTCAAGCTCCCAGTCCCCCTGGAATGAGAAGCTGGAGCTGCAGGGAGGGTGGGGAGGCCTCTGGCCAACCCGGGTCTCTTCCCCTCTGCTTGTCGCCTTTGCCTTTCCCCATTTTTGTTAACAAATACAAGACTTCCGGTCTCCACCCTGCCGCCACAAACCACAGCGCGTTCCTGCAGTCTGGCTGGGCTGGTGAGATTTACGGTCCCAGTCTGAGGCCTGCCCGCTGGCTCCAGCTTAAGGAGGAGTTAGAGTGGCAGCTGCCAGGGCTCCCTTCCCCCTCCATGGGATCCTCCTGTTCAGGAAAATCACCTTACCAGAGACACCCTAGTCTCTCAGGCTGTCTGCAGGAAGAGCCCTGTGTAGGAAAGTGGGGTGGGGCATGCAGGGGAGGGGGAACTGTGCAGGCTTCAGATGCTTCTGCAGAAGGAGGGGGGCACTCCTGGGGGTGGGGGTGCTGGCAGAGAAGGAGTCATGTCCGGGATGGTCATGTCCATTTTGGACACACAACCTTCTGTCCAGGCTACAGGGAGCTTTGTTAAGGGGGTATGAGTTAATACCAACCTGCACGCTGGGATTTGGCATTTTGACTTGAATTCACCCTTTGTGTACAGAGCTGCTGCTGACACAGAGTTGTTTTTCTATTAGGAAGATAGATGTCTTTGTCCCCAACCCCCCTTCTTTTGATTTTTGCTACATAGAGGCCCCTTATGACTGAGGCACTAATTTGAGAGCTGGATGACAAGCACCCAGAGACCATCGAGTGGGTGGTCCTAGAGTCTGGACACCTGGGTGTGTCATTACCAGGTACCCAAGCAGCAAGCTTCCTGTGGCTTGGTTTTCTCATCAGGATGTCAGAAAGCTGAAGGGGCTGGTCTCCCAGTTCCATCCAGTTGAAAGATCTATAATTTTAGGCCCCTGCTGAGGCCTTTACAAGCTCTAAAACTGAGACCAGACAAGTTACTGAAGGTCCCTGGTATTTGCTCTGCAGGGATGCAGCCTTTTTGGCCAGGGGGGCACAGGGGCTGGTGTCCTGGGCTCCTGACAGGATGGGGCGAGTCCCACGCTTCAGGAAAAGTGGGCTCCTTTCTCTGGGTTAAGATTCCAAGACCCATGTGGAAGGACTGTGGAGCTTACAGCCAGTCCAGGACCACTATCCCTGTCCTGAACTAAGAGACGAGCCTGGTTAAGGGGGTGTGTGCATGCCAGTTTCTAGGAATTGCCATTCCATCACCACCAACCATGTCTGCCATTGTGTTTTATAGATTCCCAACTTCTTCTGGAGCCTGGGGATCGGTCACACTGGTGCGTGGTGGCATACTGGGAGGAGAAGACGCGAGTGGGGAGGCTCTACTGTGTCCAGGAGCCCTCCCTGGACATCTTCTATGATCTACCTCAGGGGAATGGCTTTTGCCTCGGACAGCTCAATTCGGACAACAAGAGTCAGCTGGTGCAGAAGGTGCGGAGCAAAATTGGCTGTGGCATCCAGTTGACGCGGGAAGTGGATGGCGTGTGGGTGTACAACCGCAGCAGTTACCCCATCTTCATCAAGTCCGCCACACTGGACAACCCCGACTCCAGGACGCTGTTGGTACACAAGGTGTTCCCCGGTTTCTCCATCAAGGCTTTCGACTACGAGAAGGCATACAGCCTGCAGCGGCCCAACGACCACGAGTTCATGCAGCAGCCATGGACCGGCTTCACCGTGCAGATCAGCTTCGTGAAGGGCTGGGGCCAGTGCTACACCCGCCAGTTCATCAGCAGCTGCCCATGCTGGCTGGAGGTCATCTTCAACAGCCGGTAGCCGCGTGGGGAGAGGACAGAGCGTGAGCCGAGCAGGCCACAATTCAAACTACTTTGCTGCTAATATTTTCCTCCTGAGTGCTTGCTTTTCATGCAAACTCTTTGGTCGTTTTTTTTGTTGTTGTTGTTGTTTTTCTTCTTGTTGTTTTTGTTTGTGTTCTGTTTTGTTCTTTGAGAAATAGCTTATGAAAAGGATTGTTGGGTTTTTTTTAGGGGGGGTAGGCATGGTTGGCAGGACACCCGATAGCAAAGGGAGAAGCAAAAAATCAGAGCACCACCGAACACAGTGTGTGAATGGGAGCAGTCCCTGAACGTTCTGAGTCGTCATTTCACTTGTCGAGGAGTGTATGTGTGAGTGAGTGTGCATGGCTGTGGGTGTGTGTGCATGAATGACAGATGGGACAAACGATGAGCTCTTCGATGAGCTCTTCGTGTTTCTTATGGATGTCCCCAGCTGAGAGGTTTGGGGCCCCACGCTGTGTCTCTCTTGCCCTTTGGACATGCTCAGTGGGGCAGAGGCCGTACCTGGGCAAGCTGGCCATGGGGGTCCTGGCAGCTGCCAGAAGCATGGCTCTGCCCCCAGCCTAGGGAAGCCCCCTCTCCTCTGCTCCCCCTCCTAGGACACGGGCCTATCCACAGGCTTCTGAGAAGCGAGCCTGCTAGCAGCTGAACCAGAACCAATTGTTTTCATCCTTGTCTTACTTCCCTCCTGCCATTGTAGCGTCTTTCTTTTTTGGCCATCTGCTCCTGGATCTCTCTTGAGATGGGCTTCCAGAGGGCTGCCGGGGCAGCCCCGGTATTGCTCACTCAGTGCTCTTTCAGGCCCTCAGCCTCTCCCCTGCCCCGGTTATTTAGAAAACCAGCTCAGCACTTTCCCCCAGTCCCAGCCTGCATGTTGAGCTCTGCCATTAGACCAGCGGCGGGGGCACTCCTGGGAGGGACATGCTTAGCAGTCCCCTTCCCTTCCTCCAAGAAGGATTTGGTCTGTCATAACCCAAGGTACCATCCTAGGCTGACACCTAACTCTTCTTTCATTTCTTCTACAACTCATACACTCGTATGATACTTAGACACTGTTCTTAGCTCAATGAGCATGTTTAGACTTTAACATAAGCTATTTTTCTAACTACAAAGGTTTAAATGAACAAGAGAAGCATTCTCATTGGAAATTTAGCATTGTAGTACTTTGAGAGACAAAGGACTCCTGAAAAAAAAAAAAACCCTGAGATTTATTAAAGAAAAAAATGTATTTTATGTTATATATAAATATATTATTACTTGTAAATATAAAGACGTTTTATAAGCATCATTATTTATGTATTGTGCAATGTGTATAAACAAGAAAAATAAAGAAAAGATGCACTTTGCTTTAATATAAATGCAAATAACAAATGCCAAATTAAAAAAGATAAACACAAGATTGGTGTTTTTTTCTATGGGTGTTATCACCTAGCTGAATGTTTTTCTAAAGGAGTTTATGTTCCATTAAACCATTTTTAAAATGTATCCTTGACTCCATGTTGGCCTCTAGCTTCTTTTTCTTCTGCTGTTTGGAGGTGTGTGGGGAGGAGTGTTTATCTGAATTCAGTCAAGCTGGAATCTTCCCAAGCCCAATGCTTGGTTGGGAAGGAGGGAGACACAGGCCCCCAAAGGGACATTCAGAACAGCCCCGGTCTTCTAGTAGCAGCTTTTTATAAGTGCTACCGTGCTTCCCCCAAAATAAGATCTACCCAAAAAATAAGCCCTAGCAGGATTTCTATGCATCTGCTAAGTATAAGCCCTAACCGGATAATAAGACCTAGTGATAGGTGTGGCTATGCAGCGCATCTGCATAGCCACGCCATGCATTTCTGCAAGGAGATTAAGACATCCCCTGAAAAAAAAGCCCTAGTGTGTCTTGAGAAAAAAATAAATATAAGACAGTGTCTTATTTTGGGGGAAACATGGTAGAAAGACTGGTAGCTACCCAGACATCCCCCTTGTAAGGCTGTCATTTTCCCTAGGGTATAGCTGGCTGGGTGTCCTGACTTTTGGGATCAACCAATAGGAGCCTTGAGGGTGAGACTTCAAAGCTTGTAGAATTGAGGAAAAGGAATTTTATCTACAGTGATTAAGAAGGCTGGATTAAGAGATAGATGGGGAAGCGTAGTCCTGAGAACCTGGTTCTATCTGGTTCTTGCCACTCTATTGGAATTAAATCCTGAATCCTCTGCACCTTTTCCAGAGGAGGTGGCTGTGACAGACTGCATTCCAGGAGAGGATCCCTGGGGGCTGAGGCCCTGGAGGAATGATGAGAGTTGGGGTTGAGTGTCAGTGGTAGTCAGAGGGACAACCCCACTCTGCCCCACCCCAGTCCCCTCTAAAAACTGTACCAGGCAATCTTGAGAGCAAATAGACCAAGGAGGTCACAGAGTCCAGGTCCTATTCTGCAGCCTCTTTCCCTGTCTGCTGGAATTCTGCAGTGACAGTTCACTAGTCCCTTTCCCCAGCCCGGTCCAGGTAGCTTGCTATCAGTGTACCTCTTCATTGCTGTCCCTGCCTCATCTGACCTGGAGTTTCTGTGGGTGGATTGATAAGAGCCACGTGTTAGATTCAAGGAATCTTGTGTAAGAAATGGGTCCAAATTGTGGACAGGGTGGGTGTCTAGGTTAGGGAGCTTGAACCTAGGGGGTCCTTTTGAAGTGGGTGGCTAGGATTTTGGATGTTACAACCCTGTACAGCTAAAAACTTTTTGGAGCGCTAACAAGACTACTAACTTTTGCCAAATAATGACACAAAGCACTATAGCCCACTGGCACCACCATTAAAGGAAGTTACATTAATAAAACAACTGTGTTTCAAGAAATATTAATACATGTTGATTTATGCTCCCAAGTGTTAACGCCAAGTGGTCATCTGGGCCAGCTTGTTCACACGAGGTGATGGCAAGCTCACTACCTCTCAAAGCAGCTTTTTTGCTTTTTATCAGTTGAACTGAAATCCACCTCCATTTATTCTAGTTCTGTAACCCAGAATAAGCATGAAATTCCATCTCTGGAAACACCCAAAGAGAGTTCTAATTAACTTCAGGGTGGTAGTGGCGGAGGAGGGGTGGGGAGGGGAGATGTTACATTAGGGAGCTGTCAAAGTCATTTTACTTCGCTCCAGCTTGCATTGGCACGCCAGGAAGCTCTGACATAATGATAATAGCCACCCTTTACTGAATGCTTCACTAGGTGCCAGGCATGATGTCTAGGCATTTGAGGGAATTAGCATTTAATCCTCTCCAGGACCCTCTGCAAAAATGAAGGCTTTGTGAGGTTAAGTGACTTGCCCAAGGTCACGCAGTGAGAAAGTAAGCAAGCAGTTAGATCAGGATCTGACCGCAGATTGAGTGGTTCTAACCCCTCGGTCCATGCCTTGTACAGATGTTCATTGGATAGAAGCCCCACAACTTCTTGAAATCAGGGTAAGGTGGGCCACCACACTTCCCCTGGCCCTGCTGTTTAAGCAAGGCCTCTGGACTGGGGAGGCAGATGTTGTGGCCTTTGGCAGAAGGCAGCTAGCATTGGGGTGTGGGGGTGTGGATTCCGGCGGGGTGGTTTGCTCTGTGTGAAGGAGAAAAGAGGAGTGCTTAGAAGTCTGGCATTTGCTGGTAACTGACATTTCCCTCTCCTTGCTGGCCAGCCTGTCACCCACAGCCATCTCTTAAGTACCTGTAATGGGCCCAGCACTGTGCTGCAGGTGCACAGAGGTAATGTAGACCCAGACCGTGCCTTCAAGTGATGCTGGAGGACAAGATACCCGCCCCAGAGATGGCTAGCCACAGCCCAGGCAGAGAGCAGTGAGTTCTCAGAATGAGGCCTCGTCATGGGGCCACAGGTGCCTGGAGAGGAGGTGGGACTTTTGGCCTTGGTGGCATTTACACTAGAGGAAAGAGGAGACGGTGCCCTTTGAAAGGAAGTTTTCCTGCTTCCTGGTTGTCCTCTTTCTTTCTCAGTTTACCCCTCAAATGTCAGGGTGTCCTACAGAACTCTACTTGGATTTGTCAGGCATGTCCTCTTCCTGGACAACATGATCATTATGGGGGCTTCATCTCTCTTCACCTGTGGATGCCTCAGTTGTCCCAACCAGAAACTGGGATTCTCCCATCTCCCTTGCCTCTGTCCCCCAGCATCTAATAAGAAACAAAATCCTGGCTCAGCACCTGTGGCTCAAGTGGCTAAGGCACCAGCCACATACACCTAAGGTGGCGGGTTCGAATTCAGCCCGGGCCCGCCAAACAACAATGACGGCAGCAACCAAAAAATAGTCGGGCCTTATGGCAGGCGCCTGTGGTCCCAGCTACTTGGGAGGCTAAGGCAGGAGACTCGCTTGAGCCCAGGAGTTGGGGGTTGCTGTGAGCTGTGATGCCATGGCACTCTACCCAGGGGGACAGCTTGAGGCTCTGTCTCAAAAAAAAAAATATCTTGTCCTCCCTGCTTCATTCAGTTAATAATTACAAAAGGCAAATATCTCTCCCATATGTTCTTTTTCTCTATCCCACTATTATTACTTGGTTCAGGGTCTGCTAGCCTTTCCCAGGTCTTCCTACCTCTAGTCTGGATCACCCTCCACACACAGAGGCCCTTTGTACTAGGCACACAGGGTGATGCACAGCGCACAGATGGTGCTTTGCTTACCTGCATCCCTGGCAATGCTTTGCAGCCACCTCTCTTGGCTGTCCCCTTTTATGTCAGGATGCAATGTAGGCCACACCTCCTCCAGGAAGCCTCCCCACTTTTTAAAATTTCTGCCCTAAAGAGAGGCCAGTGGTGTAGGATCTTGTCTCCCCTACGGTACCATGAGGTCTTGGTCCTCTGGAGCTTCAGTGAGGACCCACTGCCCTAACGATTCCTGGCACAGTGCTCAAACAGGGCTTGTTCCATCCAAGAGTGATGAAGAGGCCTTAGCCTGAGCTGGGAATAACAATAACATTAATAATAGAGCCTGAACTGATTGTGTTCTGACTTTGTGCTAGGCAGTGTCCCAAGCATGTTACCTTGGGATTGTCCCATGTAATACTTCAACCACCTATAAGTAGATGTCATCATTATCATCCCTTGCTATAGAGAAGAAATGGGCTCAAAGGATCACCTGTGGTCAGAGATAGAGTCATATTTCCTCACCCCTGTGCTATCTAATCTCTCTGGGCAGGCCTGGGTCAAGGGGTGACTGGGTTGGGTATACGTTTTTTCTAAAACAAGTTCTGGTTTAAAGGATCGAGCTGATCTGATTGCTGAGTAAAGAAACAACACCTGACGTGAGTGTGAGTCTGTGCTCACCAAGGGTCCACCGGGGGTCGTGCCACCTGTGCCCTATGCTGCAGAGGACGAGGGCAGCCTTTCTTGCTGTGGGAGATGCACACTGACATAGAGCCTTTTTATCAGTCTATGTGCTCTCAGTGCACTCTCAGTGCACTCTCAGTGTGCCCTCCTGACTGTCATGGAGAGTGTGCTGGGGGCAGGTGGGGGGGCAGGAGGGTCTGATGTACTCAGCACCAGGGATGTGGTTCACAGTGATGGGTTTGAGTACTTGCGCAAGTTAAAATCTTTCTGAACCTCCATTTCTGAAACATACAGTGGGCATTAAAGATGGAGATTAGTGAGAAAATACATGGGCAGAGCTGGCCCTGTGATAATTAGGTTGAGCCACGTGGGATTGTACACATCCGACCATGCTGATCTGCAAAAACCAGTTTCATGTGGTTTTTGTTTGTCTCTTTTGACACAGGGTCTCAACTCTTTTGCCCAGAGATAGAGTACCATGGTGTCATCATCATAGCTCACTGCAACCTCAAACTCCTGGGCTCAAGTGATCTTCTTGCCTTAGCCTCCTGGGTAGCTGGGGCTACAGGTGCACACCACAGTACCCAGATAAATTTTCTATTTTTTGCAGCAATTGCTGGGGGGAAGGGGGCTTAGTTTTGCTCAGGCTGGTATTGAACTCCTGAACTTAATCCTCCCACTTCAGCCTCCCTGAGTGCTAAGACTACAGGCGCAAGCCACCATGCATGGCTGAATTTCATATAGTTATGTCAGGGGTCCCCCACTTTCTTTTTCCCCAGAGCTGCAAGCAGGGGCTGACAGTGTGAGGTGTGCTGTACAGCAAGTGGGGCAGGGAGAAGGCAGTCTAGTGGTTCGTGGACAGTGGGAAGTGGCCAGTATTGGGCAACCCCATTCTGCTCAGAATGCCAGCAAACTGTGGAGCCCACCTGGGGGCAGGAA